TTTAGTGCCTCCCCCTAAAGTGTTGCAAATTTATTTATTTGCTATTTATTTGACTCAGAAAGTAGTCTTTTGGTGTCATCAGCTAATCTCTCCTTAGCAGATTTGATCACGGAAAAGGCGAGACTGCCTGTAACGCTCCATGTCTGTTTTCCTCTGGCGTCTTTGCAGGACTGGACATCAGATGGGTGGACTGCTACTTCCCCTTCACTCACCCCTCCTTCGAGATGGAGATCAACTTCCACGGGGAATGGCTGGAGGTTCTGGGCTGCGGGGTGATGGAGCAGCAGCTGGTAAACTCAGGTACGGGAGGACCCGGAGTGTGGGCACTGGCTCTCCTGGGGGGCCCTGTTCCCAGGGAGCCCCATGCGCGTTCTGTCTGCGTCCGCATCTGCACCCTCCTGCAGGGCTCGCTGCCCGGCCTCTGTGCTGGCTTTGCCCTCCGGACTTTGTCTGCGCTGCGCTCTGGGAGGGCACCATCTCTCTCGCCTAGTTTTGCACTGGCTTCTTGGTCTTGGAGCTCTTCCTTGTCAGCTCTGGGTGTTGGGCTTGCACTGACGATGTCGTGTTTGTTGATCGGCTGCTTTGGAATCGCCCACAAGCCTTTGAGGCGTGTCCCACGAGAGCTGCCTGTCTTCCAGACTATTTAGGAACAAAGCCAGCCTGTCGTCCCTTTTTTGTTCCCACTGCGTTTGGAACTGTGCCCCCGGTTCAGCAGATGTTCCGTAAGTGCTGAGAACACAGTGTAAGACATGGAGGTCTGTCGTGTCTGCTGGTTTGTCCTCGACCCTCACTGTTGGCTGGACCACCCGATGCGGGGGCGAGTGGAAAATGGGGGCTCTGATGAAATTCCCCCTGGACTATAGGAACTTGAGAAGGATCTTTCCAGCTCTTTGTAGGGCCATTGTTTCATGAAAATGATTATTTCTAGGAATTCTCCAGGGGTCCAATAGTTAGGACTCTCTGCCCTCACTGCCAAGAGCCTCGGGTCAGGGAACTAGGATCTCACAAGCCACAAGGTCCAACCTCCCCCACCCCCCCAAAAAAAATTATTTCTAAACTTAATTTCAGAGCTGTGAATTTTTTTTTTTTAAGTCACGGTCAGAATTTAAGTTTAAAAGTACTTTATCACGTTGTGAGTCCCCCAGGGGAAGCTGGCTAAGATTGGGCATCAGGGTAGGAGGGTCCCTGTGTGAGCAGGAGGAGGAGGGGGAGCTGATGCTGATGTCTCCACCGCCCCCCCAGGCCCCCTCCCCATGTGGAAGGACATGCCCTGTGTGGCCGGGGAGTGAGGCGGCTCTGGCTCAGGCTGGTCACGAGCCTCCTGCGGCAGCAGACCGGAGGGGAGCGGTCCCTCTTGGGGACTCAGAAGTGAGGATGGACCCTGGGTTAAGGTCCAGGGGTGAGAGAATGAGGGTGGAGGGAGACAGGAGACGGGGAATCGGCGCTGCCTGGCCTGGGCCGTGGGGCCCGGCCTGGGCTCAGACCCAGCCAGCTCCGGGGTTCCTCTCCACTCAGCCCAGCAAGGCTCACGGGAGAGCCCAGCTCGGGGCCACACGCTTCTGGGATGGTTCTCCAACGTTTGAAGGTCATTCGTGGAGAGGAGGGAGCAGAGAGGTGCAGAGGAGGGCCGGTGAGTGAACGTGGGGAGGCGGGGCCAAGTGTCTGGAGCGGCAGGAGTGCTGTCTGGACAGCTGTGTCTCCGTCAGCACCTTGTCTAACCCCGCCAGTCTCCGTTTGTCAGAGCTAAAACGAGCGCAGAGACGCCTCCCTCCAAGTTTCTTTCTGATGGTTCGAGGAGGCGAGCTGAGCACAGGCTCTGGCATGTAGCCAGTAAAGGTGCATCTCTGACGTTATTGAACAGGTTTTGTTTTGTTTTGTTTTTTTCCAGATGGTGAGAGCCACTTATTAACAGAGAGCCCCCTTAGTTAGAAATGTTTAAACAGAGGCTGTCCAGCGTGGCATAGAGACAGTTTCTGGTCAAGTAGAACTCGATTTCCTCTGTGATCTTAGTATCCGTGATGCTAGATGGAGTGAATAACTTCAGAGGGAGGAAGACTGAGGGTGGTAAGAAACATGAGAATCAAAGATACACATCTTAATAGAAAGCACAAAACACTGGGAGCAAATATGTGAGCTGTTATCTCTTCTTGAGTAGGAACTAACTTCAAAAAACAGAAAAAGGTGCCTTTGTTTTGCTTTGTTTTTTAGACAAAAGATTTGCTGGATCCTAGGCTTCCTCCCAGGGGCACCTGGTGTCCGGGGCCAGCGCTCAGAACGCAAATCAGGGAGGGTTAGTTACGAATCAGCTGTTGCTTCCTGAGTCAGTCGTCTCTTCCTCGTGCGTTGCCAGTATCCTTGATAGGTTCTTATGAGNATTTCCTTTAGGATGGACGGGTTTGATCTCCTTGCAGTCCAGGGGACTCTCAAGAGTCTTCTCCAGCACCACAAGTCAAGAGCATCAATTCTTCAGCGCTTGGCCTTCTTTATGGCCCAACTTTTGTATCCGTACATGACTACTAGGAAGACCACAGCTTTGGCTATACAGGCCTTTGTCGGCAAAGTGATGTCTCTGCTTTGTAAAATGCTGTCCAGGTTGGTCATAGCTTTCCTTGAGGTGCTGCTTAATGCTGAAATACATGGTGACCGAAGAGGTTGACGGGGCAGTGACACGAGCCGGTGTCGGCTGAGCCCCGACTGTGTGCCAGCAGCTCACGAAACGCCCTGGAGGCTTGCTTCCGTTTGACCTTGCCTGCAAAGCTCTGGGTGGATGCTGTTACTCTCCCTCTCTGGAGCCTCCGAAAGGTGATCAGAACAGCTGGCAGCACCCCTTGCCCAGATCTTTCGGACAACAGTCAGTTACTATATCTGCTACCTGAGTAGTAAATTGTATGATTTTGAAGTGGCTAGAAGTCCTTCCAAATAAATGATTCTGCTGCACATGGAATGAAGAGCTGGAACCAACAGAAACAACAGCAAACAAAGCTGTTTGTTCTGTGGTTATTTATCACCCTTGCTGCGGGACCCTGCCCCCATTACCTCTGTGATCAAGTGCATTTAATTAAAGGCAAAAGATTAGATCGCTAATTTGAACAGGCAGTGAAAACACTTTATGACACATTTAAGTTGATTGTGGCATATGTGTGTTTTTGCGCACAGAACAAGATAAGGCTCTTCTGGATAGCTGAGAGAATTTTATTTCTTCTCCCTTAAGTTACGGCACCTTCAGCATCGCTCTCCAACCACTGAGATCTGGTAATTGTGATGTGGGCGGCAACTGCTGTCCTGATGACTTGATTGTTTTTCCCTTGAGGAGACGTTTTGAAGACAGCAGTGAGTCACGTCTCCAAATTCTACACACTTCTCTCCCTTTGGGCTGACTCAGGCCGCCGTCTTTCCAGGTACTATACGGATCAGGAAGACAGAAAACATCACTGGGCGACCGTGGGCTGTCATCATGCCTGGAAGGAATTTACCATTTATTGAAAAATTTAGAAGATTGTACACAGGCCAGGGAGGAAAGGCTCCATCCTGGGAAATAACTTTTTAGGAAATGGAACCACTTTCTTTACCTCTTCATTAAAATTTAAAACTTGACTCTTTGGGGGAAAAAACCTTATAAATATGCACATGAACGGTTTCTAGTTTTAAACAATCATTCTTTTGTTCATTTGTTTGTCAAATATCTCTTGAATTACTTCTAAGGCTGTAGAAAAGCAAAAAAAGCATCGTCCTGGCCGTTGAAAACAACGCAGCACACCCAGGCATAAGCATAAACGGTTAGAGTGCCACGTGGCGCGTGTCTGTAACAGAGGTGCAGTGGGCGGAGCTGGGGAAGACAGTGCCAAGCCCTCGTCCTGGTTACACGCAGGGTAGAAGGGGACCTCCACTCACTGTGGTCTGCTCTGCAGTGTGGCGTGAGCATCCCAGCATAAGGAAGCTTCCTGCTCACAGGGGTCATGTCCTTGATCTTTGCCTGGACGTGCAGTTGACACACCTGATGCTTCTGTCGCTGTCTAGGTGAGACCCTGTTTTCCGTCTATCCCTCTCCCTGGCGACAGTCTCTAAGCTCCTGCACACAGCTGTATCACGCAGTGTCACTGATCTAAGCTGGTGAGCTCCCAGGTGGCGCAGATCAAGACCGTCCGGGCCCGTGTCGGATGCGAGCGGACGTGCCGCCGTGTCTCCTGTGTTGGCAGGTGGATTCTCAACCGCTGGGCCACCAGGGAAGTCTGATGTTTGCACTGTTTTGATGCCTTTGGCGTTGTGGTAACTTTTGAAATCGGGACGTGTGAGTCCGACTTTGCTCTTCCTCTCTTCATTCTTTACTCTTTGCCCTGACGTGCTCAAGTCTCCCTAATTAAAAAATAATTTCTTCCTTAAAGTTATCCTTTACTGAAAGACTTCCTTCTGATACTTTATCTGCCCCGCTCTCGTCTCTGTCTCTCTGTCTGCTAGTTATTTGCTGTATCAGCCAGTCCAGGGTCCGTCACTCAGCTGAAGAGGTGGGACACCATACAGGTGGGAGCCCCCGTGTGTCCCCTCCCTGTTAGCGCTTCCCCCGCCCCATGAGCATTCACTGTTCTGAATTTTGTGTTGTCACCTTAATTTTCTATGCATTTCGTAAACAAGTGAACTTTCCCCGGCTTTTGTGCTTTAACACGTGGAATCACGCTGCCTGTCCTTTCCTGCAGTTCTCCACGCGGTGCTGTGAGGCTCATCTCTGTTGTCCTCTGTGGAGTTTCAGCTCATTCATTTTTCGATGCTCAAGTTCTAGTGGGTGAATGTGCCGTAGTTTGTTCATCCGTTTAAGGGACATTTGACTGTTTACAATTTTTTTTTTTTTGCTGCTTCAAATGCTACTTGTGCGCGTTTTTTGTATATCTTGCATGTGTAGGACTAAGAGTTTCTTAGAGTGATGTTTTATTTAGCTGTGGAATTGCTGAGTCAGCACTTCTGAACATCTCGTGTGCATGCTAAGCCGCTTCAGCAGTGCCCTGCTCTTTGCAACCCCATGGACTGCAGGCCGCCAGACTCTCCTGTCCATGGGACTCTCCAGACAGGAATCCTGGAGTGGGTGGCTATGTCCTTCTCCTGGGGGTCTTCGGGGCCCAGGAGTTGAACCTGCGTCTCCCTGCAGCTCCTACGTCGCGGGCACTTTCTTTACCGCTGAGCCGCCGGGGAAGGCCTCAGTGCCTGAGCTCTGCCGGTGTCTCCCGGTGGTTTGCCAGAGGAGTCGGGCCGATTTCCACAGACGCTCCCGTTGGTCCACGGCCTCTCTAGCGTCTGACTTCGTTTGGCTT